AGCATTGAAAACATTGTGATGTCTTGTGCTTTGCCTGAACTTTGTGTCATTCTTTCATGCAATACAAAGTGATGAAAAAGAAGACAGGCTTATATAAATAGTAGCATTGTATTCATAGATTTCTTCCAAGAAGTCCTATTGAGAAAAAACGTGGAATTGAAAGAAAATCTTTGTGTTGTATAAGTAATGTATATCTTACAATACTTCTTAAAGGTTAGATAGCATACTGAAATTCACTGTATTTCAATGCAAGAGAAGCAAAAAATTAAGCGCTGCTTAAGTCCTGTTTTTGCCTCTGATATAAATTACAAAGACAAATTTTGTAGCTTGTGTCCACAAAGTTAAACTTATCCCTTCCTTACCTGTATTCTGGAACAGACTGCCTTCATCTGTACTGTGTATTGAGAACAACTGCTGTCCTGTGTTTGCCCTCAAACCAAGCCTGGATTTTGGCTGGGACATCGCTCATGGCATGGCATGAAGCCATGGCAGGCAATATGCCAGCAGCTAGAATACTAGGGATGATCATAGATTGATACTCAATCCTTTCCTTGGCCCTGCACAACTTGCTTCTGTAGAAGGAACTCATCATTCTAAGCAAGGCTTGTTCCTTTTTACCACAGTTCTTTATGGAGCAATTTCAGTAGTGACTTAATTTTTTCCAGCTGTGAACACACAGACTAACACCTGGTTCAAAATCTTCCTCTTGTTATTCCGTATTCTCACTTTCAATTTCTTTGTGGGCTGCTGTAGAGCCAAAATTTTATACTCTGTTTGCTTTTAGCTGTTGTTTTTGCTTTAATACTAAGATTTAATTGGCCTGCTCTGATTCATGCTGAATGAAAAAAGCAGGATTTGAATCAGAGCCTGTAGACTCAGTATCAGTATGATGAGTGAGGCTGGTGGAGGAAAACAAGAGGTATTGAAGTGATTCAGATTTACTTGGCCACATTAAGTTGGTGGAGGAGAGGAGGATCCTTTCGCAAAGAACTTCGATGCTCTGAGTTCATATTGAAATCTAGGCGTGTAAGTCCTAAAGCACAAAAGACTGGAATAAATGTTTTAAGTTCTTCCCCAATATGTCATCCTTAACCAGGTGACACTTAGGCTTGAGTAACGTGTGCTGCACAGTGAGATTTCTCTTGGTTTCCTTGTAGCAGTTAGAGCTGATAGGATTTTCAGCATGTGAGGAACTGGAAATCTCCTAGGAGAGGGAAAAGTCCCAGAAGAGTTGGAAAACTCATTGTCTCCAAAACTGAATGTTGGCTTTTGTCAGAATGTATTACAATAAATGGGAGCTAGAAGGGGTTGGGGGGGGAAGGAAAGGGGTACAGAAAGAGGGATGAAGGTGGAAGAAGTTGTATTCAGAGACAAGTAGACAGTGTTCAGAGTAGGCAAATGGCTGAACTTAGTCTGCTTATAACAAAGTGAAGCATCAAATGCATCCATTTCATACCTATCCTTAATTCTGTGTGCATTTCAATAGAAAAACATATTTGTCATCGTCGTCCTTAAATTCTTTGTCAGAACTTTAAAATCAGAATAAAATTTAGGGTCCTGTGGAATTCCTGTGTCTTCCATCTTCCTTCTAATTGACCGGATTTGTGTAAAAGGTGTTTTGTTGCAGAGTTTCAGTTGGTTCTTTGGTATTGGCCACTGTTTTGCTAGATGTCTGCAGGTTTGCTTGTGAATTTAGTTCCTGCGGTTAACTGTTACCATGCTCAGTGCTCTGAATGAACTCTCAGGCTTTAATACCACTCTAAATTATTGCCGTGATTCTTCATGAATTTCTCTGTTGCAAACATCCTTAGTTCTTGCAGCTCCTCTGATTTCTGCATTGTTTATTTTACTGATCATATTTCCTTTGATGAGGCTCAAAATAGGCTCTGACTGTAGAAAAGCAGTCAGTTACATATTCAACTCCAAAATTATATTATTCAATTTGATATTTTTTACTGATTGCCCCAGGAGTCGCTCTTTCAGTTCAACTTGCTATTTGCTGACTTCCTATTACAAATTTAATATATTAAAATATTTCTGTTTGTCTTGTGGAGAAAAGATACTGTGCTACTGAACAAGCACTAGTACTGTTAGCAGAGTAGTTTGGTTCTCAAGTGGAATATGTAGAAGTGCAGATTTTTATTTTATTTTTTGAGCTTTATCATTACTTCCTATGCACTGTCATAGACTTTTAAAGTCTATCTGTCAACGTAACGGAAGATTTGGTAAAAGAGTACATTTGTTTAAACTGTCTGCACAGAACTGCTCATTTTTGCTTGTGTTTACCTATCAAGACCACTGTGCCTTTCACCTGATGCCAGCAGGTGTTTCCATTGAAGTGTTGATAGAAATTAGTAGTTAACTGGGGGTGGGAAGACTCTTTTTTAAAGAATGCTGTTAGCTGATCTTTGTTGCCTTTAACTGTTTCTTACAGTTTCTTTCTTGTGAAGGAATGCATATTCATTTATTGACCACTAATTTTAAAAAGCGTTACACTAATATTTGCTTATGAGTAAGGTTGTCTATATCTGAAGTGCTGCAGGCCAGTTATGTGACCTTCACTAAGGAGTTTTCTCAACATTGCCTCCTGTCTGCAGTAATTTAAGATGATGTTTTAACAGTGTTTAGATAACTTTGCTGTGAAGTAAAATTAGAATCGTGTTTTTATTCTTAATACTATGGATAACCCAATTGCAGTTAGAAAGTGAGAGTTTAGTCTCCTCCAGCTTTGGCCAGAAGAGGGAACCATTTCACTGTGTCAGGCACTTCTGTGATTCCATGCTTTAAAACTTTTTCTTTGCTTTTGTTTTTATTCCTGTGTTGCAAGCATCCATGAATCTAAGACTGCCTAGCCATCTCAGGGCTCCTTGAGGATCATAAATACGTTTATTTACCTTAGGGTATATTAACACCTTATAAATTTCATTGGACTTATTGTGTTCTGTATTTACTACCAGAAAAAATTCCTGTTGCTTAATATAGGCTTGTTAACTTCCATACTTTGTATGGTGAGAGGTTGCTGTTATGTTTTTCTCTTATGCACCCTCAGAATAATGTTATTTTTCAGTAGTGGTGTCTATAAGAAGTACAGTGAATGGAAAAAAAGTGAATGTAGTAAATTGAGTCATCTAGGGTGTGTATTAATGTGGTCTTTGTTACACAATTCATACATCCAGAGGACTTCCAGACTGTGGAGAATGGAAAGTACTCAATCAGGAATGACCTGTTTAGTTAGGGGCTTTAAGAATGGGAATCCTGCTGTCAGAAATAAATAATGGCTCTTCACTGCACAAAACCCTCCTTGTAGATAATTGCAACTATTGGATTTCCTTACCTGGAAAGGGACAGGATTTGTTTTACATCTGCACGCAAACATTACTTTTAAAAGATACTGGAATCCCCGTTAGTTTTCCTGTGTTTCAGCACAGGGAACCTCCATCCCATTCCTGCAGTTGTTACAAGACTGGTAATCAGACCAACACCAGGTAAGTTTCTACGGCTTCAATCATCTGCCTGAAATTATTGCAGTCCCTTCAGTGCAAGTAGATAGGAAGAGGAAGAATTAATACACATGGTTAGTTTTTCCTGTGTTGAGGGATGATTTGGTGTGCAGATAGAAGCACACAATATTGTCTCTGTATTCCTTTTCCCAATATCTGAGAACTCTGCAATGTTGTTCTGAAACCCGGGCAGTGAAACATGCTATTTTGCAGGCTTTCTAGCTGTAATCCACATCTCGTGTACTGCTAGTGCCTAAGTACCAAAGTATTCTGTTAAAAATAATTAAAAAAAAAAATAAAAATCAGTTTTCAACTGGTCTTTACTTGTTGAAATTCACTGTGTCCCTGAAATTACTCACTTGTCAGGATGCCTCTTTGGTGTGAGATGAGTAGCAGAAGCCCTTGTATATTGTGCCCTTGGGACAAAAAGGCTTTATGTTTTAGATGACACTGGAATGTATTAGTGCGTTACGTCAATTTGTGTTTTTCATTTTATTTTCAAGCTTCTGTTTACTCGTTTTCCTCATCAAATTGAAGACATTTTATTTAAAAATTAAATGTGATCAACACTGAAGTGTGTAATTCTGCTGATGTACTATGTACTGTAGAATCAGTGGCTCTGAACTGAGGGCAGATAGAGCAGAACCTTGGCTGATAAAATTCTGCCATTGCTTTCATTGGATCAGAACAATCCTAGTTCCACAAAGAAATGGTCTTATTTTGTCATTCAACATGAGATAATATTCATACTACAGCAAAATTAGCCACTTCTTTAACAAGAGAAGTTTTAATTTTTTGGTTGTACTGACTGTAGCACCTTCATACTTTTACTGAAGTCAGCTGGAGCTGCAATGCCTGAAATTCTGGGGAATAAAACCACCCTTATGTTCCTACATGTGACTATAGAAGTATAGCTTTAAGCACCTAATTGTGCAAGTCTTAAACATACTGACAGACGTAAAATTATGAAGTGACACAGGGACACTCCTAGGAGGACCATCCACTTTAAGAAAATGGAGTCAAGAAAAGGTTATGACCAACTGAAAATGCTGTACTGAGAATAAGCAGGAGAAAATTTAATTGTCTGAGATGTACATTTCCTAGGGCACACGATTAATTGTAGTGGAAATGTTCAATTGCTTGTAATTTTGCAGCAAATTCCCTCCTGGGCTCTGAAACTTTAGATGCTTAGTCATAGCTTAATGGAGCGTTTTCTTAGGAAGTTCAGCTAAACTTTTCTGAAGTTACGCATGTGGGAACTAAAAGAGTTCTGAGGGACAAATAGAAATGGCTTCTGTATGGGAACTGCTGAGTCACGGCCTGAACCTCTGATTGACCACCTGAGGCGAGCACTGAGTTGGCCACAGGAGCACAGGTGAAGGCAATTCAGCTGTGTGCCGGAAGGGGTGGAGCCAGGCTGCAGCCCTCCTAGACCTATTTAAGAGCTGGCTACCAGTGGGCAAGGACCTCTTCTGTAGATCCCTCCTTCTGGTGTTTTGTGGTGAGCCCAACTAAAGGTTAGCCTTCCATTTATTCTCTTTTGTTATCGTAATCTACTTCGCCTAACTCTCTTGTTTATTTTGTGATTGTAACATCTTAATATCCATTGATTATACAGGCTCAAATTCACAAGCAATACTTTGGATTTAGAAAAATCTAATGATGGAGGTCAGAATTTGATACGTTTTATTTTTCCAGTTTGACATGCGATGTGTTCTGATGAGGGAATGCAGTTTTGGTGAAAAGGAGATTAAGCAAGAAGTAATAGATATATTTGTCTAAAATGCATAATATACTCTAACATTTAGTTCATAGCTGCAGTGATTTCTCACAGTATTATGGTATACTTTCAACTGTAAGCTGCAGTATGTACTCAGTTACCAGAATAACTTTAAATATTTACAATATTTATTCCTTAGCAGTATTGGCGTGCGACTCTCGTCGAGTGCTACTTTCTTGAAGCATATCTTGGTACGTTTTACTTGCATAAAGGTCTAGACTACAACAGCATACCTTGTGTGTGATAGGTGCCTTGTTGCACTATTGAAATGCCAGCACTTGTTTAGTAGAATACCCAAAACAGTGACTTTAGGCTGCGATGTGGTCTTTGTCCCTATACTGATATGTTTCATTTTCAGTTTATATCCCATTGAAATTGAAGTTGGGGTTATTCCATGATTAATGTTATTTTGTCGTTAAGTACCGGAATAGGAATTATTTTACAAGTGTTCCTTTCTTGTATTTACTTCTCACAAAGATGTATCTGTTTGTATCTGATGTTTGGATTTTTGCAAGATGCTTTCAATCTCCAAATTTCTGATCTTCTAATGCTGCATGTAATGAGTGTTTTTGCTTTTCTATTACACTTACAATATTTTACAGTGTTTTCAAACGTTTTCATTGGAGCGCATCCAGAGTTGACTTGCACAGAAGTTATGCACTTTTGGAAGTGAACTGATCTTTTTGTCACAGAAGCTGGGCATCATGAAAATAGAGAGCATGATAGGATGGAGAAGTCCCTCTGTTTGTGGTATATTATATTAGAGTTTATTATTTAGTATTACATATTACAGTTTTCTCTCCCTCTGAGAGTATGCCCATACGGAATAATTTTTATTATCTACTTTTGAAGTTTTCACAGTAATTTTGCTACAACTTAGTTAAAAATGACCTTGGATGAAGCTCATGGATTTCTTTTGGTTCTCCTGTGGTTACCTAAGGCAAGTTTCATCGTGTATCTTGCATCAAATCTTGGTGGCAAATCTCTAGTTAATGGAAGAAAGAATTTTGCTCTAAATGCCTATAACTGTAGTTGTTAAATACACATATGTTAGTATATAGTTCATTTCTTATTTCTCCTTTCTGATTGTGGAACTCTAGTTGTAAATCTTTTATCTAGATTCTTTGCAAATTTGTGTAATGGAGGCTTTAAAGTCCAAGTTGTCACTGTTAGAGAAGCTAGAAGTGTCTGGATTTGTGCAGATAAAAGAGAATGGTTAATTTCGCACTGGGGTTTATTTTGCTTTTCTCTTGGAAGTTGCTTCTTTTCCAAATGGGGAACTGTAGGATAACTCTTTTTACCAGATGAAATACCATGATTCATGAAGCCTATGTCACCTTCACCTCCCTTCACCATCTTCTGTGTGGCTTTGCAGCACACATAGCCATAAATACTCGGTACTGCACTGGCTTAAAATAATATTTATTCAGATTCTGAAAATGCAGGAAACATTCTTCAGCTGTTGCTAACATTCATGGAAGTAAAATATTTAGTTTGGACTTCATTTCTTTCTAAATTTTGCAAAGGCAGTTTTTACTGGTTAGAGAGAAGGCTCAACACCTAGGTATATATAAAACTGTCTACACTCTACTTCATCTGGGCTTAAGTGGCTATTAAAAGCGTCATTAGTAAAAAACTAAGTTCTTTCCCCTTAGAATGTTTGTTATGTGCTAACCACTGCTGAGAAAAAAAATAAATATGAAAGAAAAAAGAGCGAGTAAACCAGAGTATTTACAATTGCAAGTTATCACAACTCCTTATTTTGAACATAAATGATGGAATCGGAAACACTAACATGCGTAAGTAGTTATGCTGCGTGCAGGTATATGATTTAGGTGCTCAAACATAGCATTTCTTTCTGTGCTGTTAATTAAGTTGACTGTTAGAGTGGCTAGCAGATGTTTTATTTTATAAGCCAGTAATTCAGGAGAACATGTTCAAAAGAGCCCCCTATTTTTCTGGGATTTACTTCTTGCAGGCCTAAACTGAAAGACCTTCAACATGATTTTCAGGAAAGGGGAATGATCTCAGCTCCTGTTGAGCTCAGAGCAATAGGTACCGATTGCATTTTGAAGTTATGCTTTGGGAACCCAAAAAGTCCAGAAACTGAATCGCAGATGTTTTGCAAATGGTTTAAATGCACAGTCAATAATACTGGTCTTTCAGTTCCTTCATTTACATGGTAGCAGAACAGCACTTTCCCTGTCTCATTAGGGTGTTTATAACGTTTAGTTAAAGGTCTGTTAGGATACTTGGACAGTATGGAAAATCATCAAAGAACAATGTAGTGTAAACCGAAGTAATTTGTATGGTACGTGCTGGTGCCAGAGAATAAAGAGACTCTTTTTCCATGTAGGATTCTTACAGGCTCAGCGGAGAGTGGGAATGTGAATAGTGTACCTCAGTGCAGACTTGTGATGCACCTGCTGAGTCAGCAGAAATCTTTGCAGTGAGTTCTGGTTTGCTTTATTCCTTCCTTTCCTGGAGAAACAGAAACCTGGAGGAGGACACCGTTAGCTTCAGTCACTCTCTGTAAGAAACTCATCATGTAGCTTGTATATTCTTCATTAAGTCACGTTAAGACTGAATAAAGGAAAGTACTGGCTAAGGTGTAAGTGCTGTTAAAAGCTCAGAACGGATTTGGTGTGTCTTTAAACTGCTGCAGTGCAAAACTCTAAATTTAACTTGTAGTTTGTGTTCTTAATCAACATATAGAAATAGGTACCTCTAGGATATGATTTATCTTGACCTTATGAGACAGATCAAGCACACAACTACTACTGATGAGCTCATGAGCACATATCTATACTTTAAACATCTGTTTGAGAAGATGCATCTCTTCCTTAATTTCTGGCAATTTCCTAAGTTTATAACTGCAGAAGTGCTCAAGAGATCATGGATATCGGCTTAGCATGAATATTACTATGTAGAGAATATGACTGGTTTGTGTGAGTGCAGAAATAGAGCTACAGCTGTCTGGAAGAGTTAAAGCCAGACAGAATGGCTTTATTAAGTTTAATTGTTGAGTGGGAAGGTATTTCAACTTAATTTTATACTGCACTGCCTTTATTCTTTGTTTTGTACTGACTGCTTAAATCTTAACTGGATTTGAATTGGTGTGATTTCTATTCATGTATATAAGCTAGTAATTGCATACCAAAACCTGGAGTCACTTGAACGCATTCTGTGTGAGTTCCAAACTATCTCATGGTCTGAGCGTATCAAAGAGCAGGATTCGGTCTGTGGAAATCCTACACAAAGTTGTCCATCAAGCATGTTCACAGTCCTTTTAATCCCCACCCTTCATCTCCAACCCTGAAAATGATTGACTTAAGCAAACCACTCACTTTCATAACTAAGAATACAGCAGTGCAGGTAAGGTATCTGTGATCTGGACCGACTTTTTACACGCTGGAATTCTCACAAAACATGAGTCCAACTTCTTTTAATAGCATACAGATTATGTTTTATTAAGGAAAAAAGGTCATCAAGAACACTTAATAAATAGGACTAAAACTGATGAAGAGGAAAAAAAAACATAGGATTGCTTGGTGCTTAACTTTACAATTAATTTATTTCTGAGGGAAGAGCGCTATTCAAAATCTTTACACTGTGGAACAGGTCCTTTTATTTAAAGGTCTTCTGTCTGATAACTTTTTCCACTCTGTTTTTTTGATTATGAGAAGAGACTCTACTATGGGGGAGTATTTTATGTGGAGTACATGGAAGCTTTTCTAGCATGAGTATGTAATTGAATTTATGATACAAGTTCTCCAGGATGTGATGCTGAGTTTCTGTTTTTTTGCTTGCTTTTGCAAACGGTCCTGCTAATGTCAGCCAATAGCATGGATACCTATGCAGTGTTGTATGCTACTTGTTGAAGTAAGAACCAGATTCTACAACTTTTATACATCTTGCAAGGAATATGCAACTGATGAAAGCTACCACTCATAACAAGGTTGTAGTGATGGTTTCTACCTTAGCAGAAGTCTAATTTTGAAAGAGGCACCGTGAACCTTGTGAAGTCCCTTCTATTCCAATGCAAAAAGTAATTGAATATGGTGTTGTTTAGTGTCAGGAAAAAAAGACAACATTTCACCCCTGGAGAAGCAAGGAACAGTAATTTTGATAAATCTGATGACAGTTGTTGACAGTGAGCGGTGAAAAGCAAGGATAGTTGCTAACTGTTTAAATTAAATCAAAAGAGAGGAGTAAAAAGTTTGAAATCGTATTTTTTTCCACTCCTCTGATACCTTATGTTGAATAGCCAGATCATTTTATTATTGCAAATACTGTGGCAGTAATCTTTTACTGCTTGCAGTATAGGCCTACAGCATTAAGTTAGTATAAAATTACATATAGTTTAATATATCTGTACAACACCTTTAAACAAGCTTCTCTAGGCAGGAAGGTTATCCGTCTTATAAATCTATTATTTCATTGTACATCTTGATAGCCTAGCATTGCTTCTAGCCATGTTTAAGCATTAAATAGTGCATTATTATTTCACATAAATCAAGCAGAGATGTGTGAATTCATAAATTTTGCATTTGCACAGACAGTATTTTAAACGTTTTACGGCTTCATGGGAACTCAGTACAAGAGCCTGTACACAAATCAGTTCCCAGCGAATTTCAATAAAATTTAATATCACAATTACTGCTTTTCAAAGTCATTGCTTGCATATTTTAGAGATGTTTTAACAGGGACTAAAAATACAAACAAAACTTGGAAGCAAGGATTTTTTGGGGGCTGGATTTTGCTGGATAGCTCCTTTGGCTGCAATGAAGTTGACTTTTTTTCCCCTCTGTGGTCATCTGAGTTTTTCTGCTTTATTTGTGCTTTTTAAATGCTCCAACTTTTTGTTTACTCCTGTCTTTTATTTTATTCTTCACAGCACACTGGCTGAGAGGAATTCATCAGCAAGCCTGATGATATTCGTACAAGAAATTTCACTGATGGGAACTTAACTGCGTATACAAGATTTTTCAGATTTGGATACTTTTTGATTAAAAAAATTCTTAAGAGATTTGATTTTCATAAAATATGGTATATATTTATTGTATCCAACATAAATATTCTGGTGTTAAAACTTGTAATGTCAAAAGAATGGGGGGTGGGAAAGAAGCAAAGAACCGTATGTGATATATTGTGGCATTGTATCACCTGATAATATAACCTTGTTCTACAGAGCAATACAAAGATAGGGAGGGGTAGACTGCCCACAAAACAGAGAAGTTGTTGTTGCCTCTGGATCTTATTATGTTTCCTGTGTCAAGTTTTCAGAACTTGACCATTACTTTATTTATCTGCAGATAAGCTTCATTTCTTGAATTGTCTATTGAAGGATATTGCAAGGTAACTCAGTGTCCTCTTCCTTTACAGATGAGAACCAGTGACAGGAAAGATACAGGCTAGGTGGTTCTATTCCTATTTTGCCCCAAGAATTACCTTTATTTTGATCAGATAACTCATTGTGTTGTTGAAAGGGTACCAGGAAACCCAGCTGTGTTAAGTATTCAAATGAATGGAGTTGATAGGAATGTGAGAAGAACTTGCTGTTCTTTGCAGGGAGACCACAGGGATTGCAGGGACTGTGGGTCTCTGTTTCTTCTGCCACTGAGCTTTTTCCTCCTGATCCTTGTATGTACATGGAAAGGGAGGGAACTCCTTACAGGCCTCAACTCTAAATTGTACACCTGCAGGCTGAATTGAGTTCTGAGTCTTC